TTTCCTCCTGTCCCACTATCATGCTCAGTCCCCATCAGAATTTCAGCACTTCCTGTTCGTTGCATTCCCCTTGATCATGCCCTACCAGGTCTCCCACACCCACCTCCCCACCAATTTGGATCACTTGTTATTCCCTTGTCCCTGGGTCTATAAATGCCCTTTTCCTCCCAGCTCTTTCCTCTATTTCCCTTGACTTTCCTCCCGTCCCACTATCATGCTCAGTCCCCACCAGAATTTCAGCACTTCCTGTTAGTTGCATTCCCCTTGATCATGAGGCCAGACTTACTGGGCTAGTTGAGACTGGGGGACTCTCTGAGACTACCACCTGCATATAGTCTTTAAGCCTTGGACCAAAACTATTTTACGAGCTCCCCTTTTAGGATTATTAGAGTCTTATACTCACTTTGATCAAAATAATTTATAAATTGCACACAAGCAAAGATGATTATCCATGATCTTAATATCATCTGTGAGTTCAAGGCTCCACTTAAAAAAAAATGTATAAGGCCAAGAGGCCGCCAGGTACTCTCAAAGAAGAACGAGAAGGTATGCGGGCAGGGACGGGAGAGAACTGCACCTAGAACAGCAGAACGCAATTGCAGAGAACTTTCTCGACACGTTGTCGCAAACGGAGCTGTGATCACAGAGCAATTTGTGTAGAAATGGTGAAGTGGGGATCGGGTCTGCGGTGTAAACTTTTACCCAAAAAACAACAATAAAGCATTAGTTACAAGAAGCAACAAGACTACAGCCTGGGAAACCATCTGGGCAGCTCTAAGTTTTATTCTGTGACATGAGATCACCCGGTGGCAGATTCAACTTGGCGGTGGCTGCACCGCTCCATGAATGAACCAAATCCCGCAGACCCGGTGGGTTGTAGGGGATGGGAATTGTGTCTGCATAAAGCTGTACAAGGAAATTACTATGAGGATCAGAACCAGGACCTTGAAGAGCGCCGAGACAGAGGCGAGTTAAAAGGCTTTTGGAGAAGGGTAGGAAGGAGGAAACGCCAGGATTGGGAAATGAGCCGGAGGGATGGGTTAGAGAGCTGGAGAGGTTGGACCGGGAAAATAAGGGAAGCGAGAAGCCCGCGATGACTGCCATCAGGGGCTCTGTGATCATCGTCTGTGTAACGTGTGTGTTTTGGTTAATTTTGAAGGTGCCCTGTCTGTGCGACGTCCTAAGTGATGATGTTGATGCTTGTCTACAGGTGGAAAGGAAGCGCCACATTGGAAATGATATCGTCACCATTGTGTTCCACGACGGGGAGGGATCGTCTTCTGCCTTTAAGCCTTCCATGATCCGCTCCCATTTTACCCGTATCCTGTGCCTTTGTACATGCTCTGGGTTAGCAAACTATAGCTCAGCTTCGTTGCACTTAAAATGACCCTCCAACCAAATGTTATCATGGACATGTTATAATTGGCATTGTTCAAGTCTTAGACTCCCTGTTTTGGGAATTTGGAAGAGAGAGCCTCTTCCTTTCTGCATCCGTGGTAATAGTAAATGGATTTGTTCTCAGACACGTCTTCCCGACATTTGACCTGTCTGCTCTGTCCTAAGGTAGTCTATCAAATGAGGCCTTCCTACCACTCATCGATAATAAATGAATTAGAAGGACTGTAGGTAGTGAATCCTCTGAGAAATTTACTTTAGGTATAAAAACTTGGCAAGTAAGATAAAAAGCCAAGATAATATTTTCTGGTTGACTCAAAGACCTGATAAAACCTTCTCTCTTGCCCTCTCTTGAAATAGCAAGAACTGGTAACTAATCGTATTCTCCCCTGCTTCTCCTAATCCCTCAAAATGCAGACAAAGCCCAGTGAGCAGGCTGAAGTTCACGGTGACGTCTGAGCCCTGCCCAGCCAGGCAGAACCCTGGTGGTGTGGTAGCTCCCTCGAGAGAAAGATGAGGTTTTGCACTCCTGTGAAGAGTTACAACCTTGGACACCCACAGGGGCGGTTCCACGCTGGGTCAGACGAGTCAGGCTCATCTCCACGGCAGTGAGTTTGGCTTGGGGTTTGACTCCGCCAGACCGACGGGAAACAGGAACGAGGCTAGCCCAAGAGATGGCCAGTCGTGAGCCTGTTACTCTGGGCCACAGGCCAGAACACGTTAAATCCAAGGAGTTAGATCCAAACAAGTTAAATCCAAGTTGTAAAACCTTAAAAACAAGGTTAAATCCATGGCTGTCCAAGTTATACATAATTAATAAAAGGAAACTAATAGGCATTTTCTGAACAAATTCTGGTCCGGTCCTCTCATACCCTGGAGACGCCAGTAAAAGTGCTGAGAGACAGGACCATTGCCACTCACTCCATCTGGAATTCTGCTTTGACTTTTCTATTAACTTCTCTATTAACCCTAATAGTGTAACATCTAGGCTATTGAAGTTTTAAATGGACAACTTCCTTCCAGGAGGGCTGGGAAGAAATGGCTGTGTGCATGGGAGCATAATTTAATAATGGCTCTCTTGGGGCTTGCCCCTGCTCTCGAAGTGCTAGCTCGCTCTTGTCACTGAGATTTAAAACTAGTCCTCCCTGACTTCCTGCAACAGTCCTTGTAGAACAGAGACCTTTCCAAGCGCACGCAAGAGGGATGAGGGGTGTGTGTGACATTTTAAGTGACAGAGGTAGCCAATATTTCTAATATCTCCCTTAGTTGTTTGTTTTAGATTTAGGGCTTAGCACACATGTTTTTGGAGAGGAATGAGTGGATCATTAATGCAGACTCCATCCACCTAGTCTGGCATTGAACGGGATGGAAGCGCTTTGGGAGGGGTGGGGGTGGCTTGCTAGCCTGAGCTAAGGATTGCTGGGGAGGGAAGATCGTGGAAGGAGGTGAGGAGAAGGAGAATGGAAAACTGATGAGACTATTTTAGACTCCGCCAGCCCTGCTACAAGTGGATTCTGCTTAGACTGCCATGGGCGACATCAGTTCTTTTTGTCTTGTCTTGTGTCATTTGCCAAAGCTGGACGGACAGAGGGGGAGTGAGAGAGTGGAAACATTTAAATTGCTTAAATGTGTGGGGTGAAATAAATGACTAATTTCCTCTTGGGATCTTTGCTCTCTTTGTTTTATTGGCTGCTTCATTTGGGGGGCTTTATTTGTTGATTTGGGCTTTTCTGGCAGATTTGGACAGTTAGCCCTTTCCCCAAAGAAGGACCACACAGAGGTTGAACCTAGCCGTGGTGGTCTTACATATATCTTCATGGGCTGTCTCTTTTAAAGAAGTTCTACCATCAGAGGGTTAGGTACCTTAAGCACAGAAAATACTGGTCTAGAATAATTCTGCACAAGGAATTTTCAAAGGACAAGGTGTTGACCACAAGTATTAAGGTTCTTGATTAACTTCTTTAACCGATATCACAGATATTTTTGCCTTAGTGAGGTATGATCAACAGAATGACAATTACAGGTAGCGTATGACTTTATCTCAATTTTTTGTTCTGATTTTCAGATCTGCTCGTAATTTGGCATTGCTTTTCTGAGATTCTTGATAGTCATGCTCCTTGGCTGATTTATTTGTGTCTCCTCACCTTATAGAATATTCCTAAGCATCTCTTTGAAGAAAAGAGATGTGTATATTGTCTGGACAATAGACCTGAGGGTCAAAGCTAGTTGGACATTTTATTGTACTTTATGACGGGAACAGGTTTTATATGTTTGATCTTGACCACAATGTGTCCCCTTTCGTAGGCTGCAACCTTGCCAATTTATGACTGTTCCCCATGAGCAAAAATTGATCTATAAAAAATGGCATGTTATGTAAAGAATAAACTTTGAGCACGAAAGATTTGGATTAGAATCCCAGTTGCATCGCTTGTGAACAGCAAGGCTTTGAGAGTAGGTATTTATCGTTGGTGAGCCTCTGGCCTCATCTGTGGAATGAAGATAGTGCCAATGCCTTGGCAAGTTTGGTGAGAATCTGATTTGATGCCATGCCTGAAATTACCAAATGAGCTGCCTCGGGTGTTGTGGGTGCTCAATGGCAGCCACTTCTCCTCTTCCTGGGGTACCTGCCCTGTCCAGCTCTTGTGGGGTTGGGTCACAAAGGACGTCAGAAGACTTGGCATGTCAAAGCACTTTGATTGAGTTACAGAGGAGCCCTGGATGGTGATGGGCACACTGACGGCCCAGACAGCTCCTGCTGCCATGGAATGCATATTCCTAACAAGTCCTATAAGTGGCTAGGCAAAGCTAGGGTCAAAATATTGGTGATCTTTGGAACAAGTAACTCTGAAATGTTCTCTTTGTAGGCTGAAGATATTTTCAGAAGAAAGTGTCCCACTCTTTGGCCCACCCTTGCCATCCCCACCGGTGTTTACAGACCACCAGGAATTCAGGGACTTTTTGTTAGTGAAATGTAAGTTTTCTCTTTTGATTTCCCCCTACAACTTGTTCTATCTTAGAATACATTTCTTCAAATTCTCCCAGGATGCCATATAAGTTATGTAATTATTTAAACATTTCATGTGCTATTGTTTGGGTGTGTTTTTTTTTAACATGAGACATTTGGCTTCTTAGTAGCAATGGATGGGTTTTCTCCTATGTCCTTATTTACACTGACCCCTCCCCCTGGCCCACAATCCTTCTTTCGACCTCGGTTTCTAATGTGGTCATTTCCTAATCCCTGCTTATATAGAGATGCATCTGCCGCCTTTGTTAGCGTGTAGGATGTTGGTGGAGGAAAGCGTAGGGATATATACCGTATATACTCAAGTATAAGCCGACCCGAATATCAGTCGAGGCACCTAATTTCACCACAAAAACTGGAGTAAAAAATGTGCTGAAAAACTCGGCTTATACCCAAGTATATACAGTATGTATATGTATGTGTGTATGTATGTAAGGATAGAGAGAGTTGCTGGGGAGCGGTCCATGCGTGAGAGCGAGAATACGGTGTGCCAAACTTGACTGGCCAGACTGCACTCCCAGAAAACAGCACAGCCGTGCAGTCATCCCAGCGCGGTCTCGCTGAGCCACCAGAGCGCCGTCTCCACTAGATGGTGAAGATAAAAGTTCATTCCAGCGGTGGCGTCCTGGTTACACATTGGGCTGCGATCCGCAAGGTCCTACGTTTGAAACCACCGGCCATTCTGTGAGCAAAAGATGGGCTCTCTGCCCCCCTGAAGAGTGACAGCCTTGTACGCTCACAGAGGCAGGTCTACCCTGTCCTGTAGGGTCACCCCGAGTGCATCCATTCAATGACAGTGAGTTTGGTTTTGATTTTCCCCGACACGTCCTAGCGTCTCATCCACAGAGCTCTGTTCCTCCCCTCACACCCCTACCGAGAGTCTTCCTGGGTTTTGGACCTGGAAGTTCCCATGGGGGGATTGCGTTGTTGGTTCAACCACTGCATTCTCTTCATGCAGTCCATTGATGACTGGCCACCGGGTTCCTGCAGAGTCGCCACAGTCCCTGTCCTCCTCCCCGCCGCCACTTCTCCAGGCACACTGGGCATCGCAGCTGCTTGCTGGCCGGACCCCACAGGCTTTGCCTAATGCCATCACGATTTCTCTGCAGTTTGGGAGGAAATGCTCTCTCTCCTACTCCAAGTCCACCATGGTCTCTGGCCCTAAGGTCGCATTGATTCCTGCAAAGCTTCACAGGGTCTTTTGTAAACAACTGCACCTTCAACGTCCAGTCTTAGTGCTGTTCCTAAGGGCCGACCCCCTCGGGCCAGGGAAAAGGATAGGTGCCGGGCTTTCCCTTTGTCTGCTGGCTATCCACGTGCAGGCATGACAGACCAGACACGTTTCTCAGGATACCTCCCCGTGTGGTTGGCGTTCGAAGGGATGTGTGACTTAATTTCAGAATTATTCTCGGCCAACCAATTGCCTCTCTTCCTTCTGTAAAATTCCTCCAACCCACAGCACAGATCCCACCTGCTTCTAAAACTTCCTTCTGGGACTAAAACTTCCTTCTGGGAGAATGAGGGAATGTAGGGTTTCTCTGCTGGGGCCTACTCTCCTTTAACCTACACCAGGGCCAGGGTGTTCTCTCCCTGGGACACCTGCGAAGCATCCGCTCCTGCTATCACTCACAAAGGATGGTGGGCTCATCTCTTTCTAGTTTCAGTGTTGCTGATTTCAAGGCTCAGAGACTCAAACGCTTGGATGTCGGTGGGTAAAGTAAAGAGTGCTGAGAAATGCAGTACGTTGGATGCCAGTTGAGGCCATTCCATTTAGGAACATGAGTCTGGTATTGCCAAATAGTCTGATTTCCTAAACTAAGCCAGACATAGGAAATTGCTTGATTCTTAAAAGTCACGGAGCCCATACTTGACTGTGTGTTACCAGTCCAAAGATAGAGAGCAAGAAATAACTAAGACAAAGAGCAGATTTAGCAACTAGAAGTGGAAACGTTCTTGGAAATGTAGGGCTCGGGGCTTTTTGGTTTTTTTTGTAGCGAGCCTGTAACAGCGAGGAAGAAATCACTAAAGTGGTGTAAATTGTTGAACCCCTGACTTGACGATCACTGAGCAATACTAAGAATTTAGCTGACAAGTGGAATCAGCCAGCTTAAATGGAGCCAGTCAACAGAGTGACTTTCTTCAGCATCGGTAGCAACCACGGGTCAACTAAAATGAAAAATTCAGTTAAAGGAGAGTATGGAGTGGTGACCCAAAGCTCATCTGTAGGCAACTGGACATCCCCTTACAGAAGGGTCGCAGGGAGGAGACCAGCCAGTCAGGGTTCAGTGTAGCAACAAT